GGTCCTAGGATTATAGAGTATTAAGGAAGGACTTATGTTCATATATCTTACTACCTATACAATTAGTCTTCAGATGACAGCAAAAATCCCTGAGGAGAAAAGTCTGAATATAGTGATCTAATAATGTTTGATGCTTATTGTTTCCTAAAACTTACAGAAGAGGAGAAAAACATTTGCTGTTAATCAAAAAATTTGTTATGGGCTGGGGCTGTAGCTCAGTGGTAGAGCGCTTGCCTTGCACGCGTGAGGCACCGGGTTTGATCCTCAGCACCACATAAAAATAAACAAATAAAAATAAAGTTTTTTTTTTTAAATGACCCTTCTTCTTTCCCTTCCTTCTTTAAAAAAATGTTGTTAGAAAATGTCGTGTTAATATTTCCATGTGCATCTTGGGGCTGTGCACATAATTTATGTGAAGACAGTAATATGATTTAGCAGTGATCCTAACAGCTTTCAGATAGTTATAAATACTAACCCTGCAGGTGACAATGGTAACTGAATGACCTCAGAAAAAAGCTGAAGGATGAAGAAAATCCAGTACTGGGCTTTGGGATTGGTGGGAAATGTAAAGTTGCTGTTGCAATGAGGCAGAGGAAAAGTAATTGTGATCAGAAAGTAGCAAAATCAAATGATAAGATTTTAGAAGTGGTTGTGACAGCTTAGTCTGTGACTAGAGAATGTTAGCTGTGTTCAATAAAATGCAGGCTAATCTGTCCTCTGTATATCAACCAATAAGACTGTGAGGAACAATGAGTCAAGCACAGAAAAAAAGAACACCTTCCAGAACCTCAGTATTGAGGATAAGGAGCTTCAGTTGATAAGTCCTTTGCCCTCTGGTTTCTAACAAAGACTGGTTAATAATGCACATCATGATAGTCCAGCACTTCCTGTGTGTCAGCATGTACCTAAGAACTTGGCATGTATTAGAATATTCACAATTCTATGACAACAGCTACTGTTGTGCCCATTTTACAGATAAGAAAAGAGATATGGAGCAAGCAATTTAATATGGACTGTAAATTCTGGGGAGGAGATATGGACAGATTTGGGATGAGAGAATATTTTACAAAGGGTGGCAGCAAATGAGAGTAAACAGAGTCCAGAAAGAGATCTGTCTTTCTAGGTATACTGCACTCCAAGGATGCCAGGCTACATAGCGAGGTCTGGGGACGGATGAGGCCATGAGGCACTGGAGCCATATTGGAGAAAGTCCTAACTCCCAGTTTCAGATTTTTGAACCTGACTTGGGAGACAGGAGGAAAGTGTCATAATCATAGCTGTGCCTTAAAATCACTACCTTTTGATATGAATAAATTAGAGAGCGGCTGGAGTGAAAGGACTAAGGGTCCTTTTAGTCCTGATTATTTGACAGGGAATGAGTCTACTAATGAGGAGCAGCAGTCAAAGGTTGAGGGAAGAGACACGTTTGATATTTGTTGCAAAGGTCAAGTGTAAAATTTCGATAACTAGTTGGAAGAAGGGAACTGGGGTGTGGGAAGAATTCAAAAAGAATCCAAGATCTCAAGTGTGACTGGGTGATTTATTGGCCAGAATTCAGGAAAGGCACTTTGCAGGGGTGACAAGAACAGTGTGAATTGCTGACTTAGGAAATATGTAATTTGTCTTGTGTGCAAGCTGCCAGATGGAGGACCACACTTAAAGGAGTCTGAGCTAGAAAGGAAGTTTCTGGTGTCACCTACATAACATGTGCTGTGGTCAACTGGGAGGTGTGTAATCTCTGAAGTGGGAAAAGGGAGAAAATAGAGAACATATCCTTGGAAAACATTTAAATTTGGAAATAAGAGAGAGGAAGAGGAGCAAGCAAAAGAGATAGAAGGACAGAGATGAAGGAAGAATAAGAAGCCCAGAAATATGCAGCCCTATCACTGAGTTCAAGGCTATGGAAGGCTCCAGAAAAGAGCTAGGTTGGCAAGACCTCAAAGAAGCCAAGAAGAATAAAACTATTTGGTTGATTAGAAGTTGTCAGGATCAACAATAAAAGGGTGGAAGGAAGACTTAGATGGTGAGGAGTGAATAATAAGTCAGAGCAGGAAAAGGCAGCAAGCCTGGTTGTTAGGGTTAATAAGATTTTGACACAAGAGGGAAAGGGAAGACAGCAGTGTTGAGGGCAAGCCAGAAGAGGGAAAGTGCTTTGTGTTAATTAAAAGAGCACCATTTAAGTCTATTTTAGACAGAGATAAGCAGACATAGAGGGTCGAGTAAAGATGACAGTCAGTGATGGGTAGTAGCAGTGAAAAAGCTTTCATCGGCAGGAATTCACAGAGGATGAGCCCCTAAACTGTTTTCTGACCTTGTCATTAAACAAACCAGAATGCATGGAACTGCTGTCGTTAGCAAAGCCCATGCAGCCATTCTCTCAAAGAAGAAGTCAAGGACTAATGAGCAGAGTCATATTGCTCCTTTTCTGGGGAGTACATGAATTTAATTCATGTATCCCAGAGCAAGTAGGGGAATCGCTCTTGTTGTAGACTGTTTTTAAAGAGTAAAATAACTTCCTTGGAAAGAGAAGAAGGGAAGAAATTTTGATAATGAATTTGGAATGTAATGAATTTACACTGTAAAATGTAAGGATTTTTTATAAGTACTGTTTGCAGATTGCTTTACATTGTAAATACTGTCCGCACAACACGGGAGAGGTCATTTTGAGCCTGTTTTTTTCACAAAGTAGTTAAATGCATGACATTGCTGGAATGTTATGTAACTCACTCTGTAATAGGCAAAAGCTGTCTAGAAAAATAAATAAATAGAAAGACAAAAATATTGATGGTAGCTATTGAGTGATGGTTGCTTTTGACTGCTGTCAGCCTAGGCAGGACAGCCACTATAAAACATTCAGCAAACAACCTGTCCATCATCTTATCCTGTCAGGCTGGGGAGTAGGTACCAAGCACAGGATGTCAGAAAGGATGAGATGAACCAGAGAAATGAAAAAGGAGCAGAGTTAAGAGAGACTCAGTGTTCAAGGGGACTATGCCTATTCTCTCTTCTATGGGATGAGCTGGGTACCCTGCATGTTCAGAAACGGCCCCTAGGGTCCCTTGGTTGTCACATTTCTGCACAGTCCTCAGACATGGAGAAGAGTGTTGGAGGTTGTTAGCACATCTCTCTCTGGAGTTGAAACTGGGCTCAGCATCAACAAACGAACCCCAGCGGGGATGTGTCTCTCCTCTGTGCTTGGATAATGGCTATTCCCAGATGCCCAGGGAAGAATTAAGTTCAATATGTGCCTTGTGCTGTATTACACACTGCATCCTGAACAGCTGGGCTTTTAATACAATTTAGAAAGAACTGGCTGTTCACCACCCATATATAAGGTATTTGTAATAAATCTCTCAATGAGGAGATATAAAAATTTCTTGTTTCTGTATAGCCAAAGGAAGCAGAGCATTAGGCAAGTATCCAGTGAGTCTTATTAACAATGATAACCAATGCGGAAGATCCGAAGGGACTTGCTCCACATTTCTATCAGTAATGATAATTTTTTTATCTGAAATATGCTGGTAATTTTCTCACTTGCAAAATTCAATTTGCTTAAGGATTAATAAATATGATTTTTCTTAATACTTATTGAATCCCCTCCATGTTCTAGATGCTGCATAAAAATAGAGCATCATCTGTCACCTGATTTTCTTTTGTTCACTTTATCTCTGAGATGATAAAATAGTAAAGCCAATGCAAGATGATTTCTTTTCAAGAGAATGCAAAATAATATAAAACAGTAGAGTTTTATAAAAAATTCATATTATATATGAAGTTCCTACTCTAAAATTTAGTAAAATAGAAAGCATGTGACAATGAACTAGTACAAATGCAAGAATTTTGGTTCTCATGTGAGTGTTTTTGGTAGAGACATGGTTAGTAGTGTCAGAACGAGGACGTTTTCCTCCTGGATTTGTACATGTCAACTTCTGTGTTGTCCCCAGCTCAAAGCCAGGAATAGCCCTAAACAAATTATCCTGCCACATGAGTTAATAGATAATAAACAGGATAAAGACTGACAATGGATAGAAAGTAATGACAAATTAAAAATAATTGTTAAAGAAAATTTCACCTGAAATATTTACTAGTAAAATAATTTCTTACCATAGTCAGAAGTACACAGATCACAGTCACTTATACTTTATACCAAAATAATTTCAGTGTTTAAGAGGATTCCTACCCTCTTGTTCTTAAGGCAGAGGAATAGAATATGTAGTGGAACCATTGAATAGCAATTTCAACTATCAAGATATCAGTTTTTAAAAAAGAGTACAAGATCACTAATTTGTGTTCAGTGCATCAGATTATTTGATCTGTCAAGAAATCATCCCTACTGACTCAGATTTTTACAATAGTAAAATGGCACATGTACATAATATTTAAATTTTATTTATCTTTTATATTCTAAAAGCACAAAAAGGGACCAATTCTTTAAATTGTACATTTCCTAAAATTAAAATGCCTATCCCAGCATTACCTAGACACAGTGTTTTTCTGCCCTTTGTTTCAGTGACAGCGTAAATAAAGTGTATGTGCCACCATGAAGCATTTTTCTCTGAGGGGCACTTAAGCAACCTCCAGTTTCTGTGTTTGGATATTCTTCAGCAACCATCTTTGTATTTCCTAATATTTGAGTTTCTTCCCTCCACACAGCTTTCCTGAAATGAAATTACTGGATTAGGGAAATGAATATTTTAAAGCTACTGTTTCTCAACATATTTCTAAATGGCTTTCCAGTAGAGTATTTATTAATTTACCTCACACTAGCAATATGTGAGAATTATAGTGTTACCCTGGGCTTAACAAGCTGCTAATAAGACTGCATTGCTTTTATTTGCATTTATTTCATCCTCAGCAGGCTTGGAGAATCTTGCAAGTATCCATTTACAATGTTTTCATACATTGCGTTCTTCATTTTTGTTGCCGTCGTTTTCTTATCGGTTGGCTCCATGCTCCCAGCTCCCACCTCATGTCTTCTTCCCTTTTATTGCCTTGTCCAGGTTCCCATGATTCATTCAGCTACTGGGTGGATGAAAAGTCCCCCGTGGGGCCTGACCAAACTCAGGCTATCAAACGCCTCGCCAGGATCTCCTTGGTGAAGAAGCTCATGAAGAAATGGTCTGTGACTCAGAACCTGACCTTCCGGGAACAGCTGGAAGCTGGGATCCGCTACTTTGACCTGCGTGTGTCTTCCAAGCCAGGGGACACAGACCAGGAGATCTACTTTATCCATGGGCTTTTTGGCATCAAGGTCTGGGATGGGCTGATGGAGATTGACTCCTTCCTTACACAACACCCCAAAGAGATTGTCTTCCTGGATTTTAACCACTTCTATGCCATGGATGAGGCGCATCACAAATGCCTGGTTCTCCGGATCCAGGAGGCCTTTGAAAACAAGTTGTGTCCAGCCTGCAGTGTGGAAAGCATGACGCTGCAAACCCTGTGGGAGAAGAAGTGCCAGGTAGGAGGAAAGGAGGGACAGGAGGGACGAGCGGTCAAGGGCACGAAGGCAGCTCTTTCTGCTTTTCCTGTGTATTCATCTGTAAAACAGCTCAACCCTGGGCTCAAAGGCTGGAAAGTGTGGGATTGTTTGGTACACTGATTCCTGAGCTCTAGGATAGTTGCAAAGCTTCCCTGAGCTCTATTTCACTGGGTTAACCCCTGCCAAATATTTAAAGTTTGGCAATCTGCTTGGCATGTAAATTGACAGAAAGGCCTGCTCAGAACTAGCCGGAGGCAAAATTGTGAAATGGGCCAGTAGGTCCTTACCATTCTATCTTCCCAGAGGCCTGCTTTAAACCCACACTCTCAGGTCTCTGCAGATCACCCTTGCCAAGGTATTGAGTGAAAAGGAGCAGTATTAGCTGACAAAGTTGTATGAAGTCATTCGTCACAGGAAAATGACTATTTTACAGGCCCTCCTCATAGAATTTGGGTCACAGACAGAGTTAAGAAAGGAAGACCTGTTGAACACACCTGCTGAGAGTGTGTTTCCAGAAGAGCCTCCAAACCTAGACCATGAGGGACACAATCAGGCAAAGGAAGTGGGACTCAGAAACATTCCACTCTGGTTTCACGGATGGTAGCAGCAGGGAAGAGCTTCAGGGAAGAACAGTGTTTTGATCAGCTTTTTCATCACTGTGACCAAGGCCTGATAGTTAAAGAGAAGGAAAAGTTTATTGGGGGCTCCCAGTTTCAGAGATTCCGGTGCACTCTATACCTCTGGGCCCAAGATGAAACAGAGCATCATGGGAAAAAGGAGTGGTAGGGGAAAAGCAGCTTAGAATATGGCAATGGGAAGCAGAGAGAGCTCCATTCACCAGGGACAAAAACTCCAAGGGTACATCCCCAGAAACCTGCCTCCAGCCACACCCTACCTGTCTACAGTTACCACCCAGGTAATCCCTATCAATGTTTTTATCCATTGGTTAGGTTACAACTCTCACCATACAACCATTCCACCTTAGAATGGAATGGTCTCAAATGGTCTCACACATGAATTTTGCGGGGAGCACCTCATATCTAAATCACATCAAGCAACCAATAATTTAGTCTCTTAAAAAAAAAAAAAGCAAGTACCTTAAAGCAAAGTTGCTTATTTGCCTAATAAATGCAAAAAGCAAAACATCCTTAAGAGAGGCAGATGTTTTTGAACTCAGGGAGAGACTTAGTTAAAAATAAGTTAAAGATTATGTATTTGTAAATTTTTTTAAAGAGAGAGAGAGAGAGAGAGAGAATTTTTAATATTTTTATTTTTTAGTTTTCGGTGGACACAACATCTTTATTTTACTTTCATGTGGTGCTGAGGATCGAACCCAGCACCCCGCGCAAGACAGGCAAGCACCCTACCACTTGAGCCACATCTCCAGCCCCTGTATTTGTAAATATTTACTGAATACCAGTATGTACCAGGTACCATTCTTATCAGTGAGTAAGCAGATAATGAATCTTGCCCTAGTGGAGCTTTCATTCAAGTGGGTAGAGATAGGTCATAGAACAAAGGTAATAAATATGTGTGGGTGAAAAGTGATAAGAACTGAGGAAAAGGAGAAGCTCAGCATGGTATCTGGGAACCAGGACTGTGTGGGTGAGTTGGTTGAGTTTTGCATAGGATGAGCAGGGCAGTCTATGTGAAGATTTATGGAAAAGGTTGCATTCAAAGGAGTGAAACATGAGGGTCTTTGGAGGCAGAGGAAGCAGCCAGCACAGAGGCCTTGAAGCAGGAGTGTCCCTGATATCTTTGAGGAAAAACAGGGACAGAAGCTAATAAGCAGGTAATGAAGAGCAGGAAGAGGACAGAGAGATAGTCGGTGGTCACACAGGGGAGAGTTCTGAGCACAGCTTTGCCCTGATGCAGGTCTTAATGGGATCCCTCCGATTCTTGTGCTAGGACAACATCAGGGGCAGGGGGGAGAGGGCAGAAGTGGGGAAACCAATGAGAAGACTTGATGGCAAGTGCTAAATGTTTTGACTCCACAGAGGCTGATTGAGGTAAATCTTAGTATTTGTTAAAATATGTCTAAGTCATTTTTTCCCCAAAACTTTTGTGATATTTTGCCAAATATTTATCACATCTCGCCCCCAAACCCAAGTTTATATATATTCAAAGTCACAGGTCCAATCAACCTGGAGAGATTTTGATCCCCGGAGAGTTTCTCTTTCACATCACTAGATAATAGTAATAATAGCAGTAACACCTAAGCCTTTATTATGTGCTAGGCAATGGATTAACTCACATGATCCTCCTAACCACACTATGAGATAGGTACTTTATTAGTACTCTGTTTTACAGATGAAGAAACTGAGGCATAGGTTTATTGAGCAACTTGCTGGAGGAAAACATTGTGGGTGAGTGAAGAGCCAGGATTCCATCACAGGTTCTTTCTGCTCCAGACTTCCCATGGCTTCTGCTGCTCTCTGAGGGCTGTTCATGTTCCTTGATCACTTCACAACTGCTCTCATCTGTTTTGCTAATAAAATGCTTTTTCTTTATCAATAAATAAGCCCCTAATTTCAGAGGGTCCCAGAGTAGAATAGAAAAAAGGAAAGGTTTTGATATGGGGTTTCAGGTAAGGTTAATTTGAGTTCAAATAAAAGTTCAGAATTTTGTACCCTGCTCATATTCTGAATGGCTGATGTATTGCAAACTAAACTGACTACAAACCTGCAGGAGTTAGAAGTATCTTCAGGAATAACAAATAGTGTGAACAGTGAATTTCTAGCAGCAGAAGGAAAGTCCATTGTGGTTTTTAAGAATGGGACAAATTAACTGTGTCATCCAACCTCAAATACCTCTAAAGTTATGCAGAGTCTATGATGACATATCAGAAAGGGCAGTCTAAATCCCAGGATCCCCCTATGCTCCTTCCTTCCCCATGTGACTGGTGCTGAGTCTTTAAAAGTTAAAACAAGAAGTCTCAAGGAGGATTACCAGTCTTTTTGCTGTGCTGGGTTGGGCTCCCACTTTAAATATGGTCAGACTCTAAATATTCATTATGTAATGACCTGCCTTGTGTTTAACCCTGAGTATTTTATTATGCAATTTAATATCAAAAAGTGTACTATGATCTAGTCAAATTTCATACATTCAACATGCAGGTATGTCGCAGCTCACAGGCATGCATACGGGGTCGGAGGGTACAATGAATCAGAAGATTGAATGTACATCTCCAAAGTATTTATGATCTCATGGAGAAGGTAGGAATAGACAACTCTAGTAAATACAAAACAATTAATATGCAAACACAAGATAAGACTACCTTGAATGCTCTGTAGCATAGGAAGGGATTTTTTTTAAAATAAATCAGATGAAAAGTAGAACATAGCATAAATCTGCCTCCCAAGGCCCCCAGTAAAGAAATGCTCAAAGTAAGAGGCGGTCAATCAAGGAATAGTTCTTAAAGGAAATGAGATTTTTAAAACTGTCTCGAGGAAAACCGAACAAGAGCTGCTGAGCTGTAGGGTAAAGTGTTTCAGAGAAAACTGCAGCAGAATGAGGTGGGGAAGAGGATGCAAAGCACAGGCGAGAGACTCCACCCCTGAAATCTTGTAGAATGAGAGCTGATTTGCTTAGGCTGGCCTCCACTGTGGGCAGAAATTCCCCTGAAACCTTCAGGGTCAGATTGCTCAACAGGGCACTTGAGGAAAAGCATGAAGCCCCCTTGCAAAATTTGTACTGTGTGCACCTTTTCAAGGCAGAACAAAGGATAGCACTGTCCTTTGGGGATGCTTAGCCCAGGGGCCAGGTGTCAAGGGAGACCTGTGGCAGGCCTGACACAAGCCTGCACAGCTTCCTCCCCCTCCCACAGCCCACTGCCCAGGGCAGCTCTTCTGGGAGTCCCCAGCCTTCCAAACTTGCCAATTACACCACTGCCAGGAGGAAATCCTCCAAGATCTCCCAGGCAATCTGCTTACTGTGAGCCTGTGATTAACCTCATTAAGGCGTGTTTACCACAGACATCATTTGCAGCCAGTCAGCATTATTCAAAACCATTAAAAACAGCAAGCCATGACCCTGCTTAGTGCATGCAGCCTGGCACTCGCTGGCTCTGGGCCTCTGGGACAGTCAGTCAACACCTTAGTCACCAGCTAAATGTACACTGGAAACAGGATGGACTGCAAAGCCCTTGTTCTTGGGTGCCTGGAGGATTGGGCTCCAGGCCAGCTATCTGAGGACTGTAGTCCAGGGACCCTGCATACCCAGAACTTTCCTTTAGCAGATCATGGGAGCTCAAAATGGCAAGAAATATATTACTTCTAGAAACCTACACAGAGATCCGAATTGGGACAACTGAAATAGCAATTCCCTGTCCCACAGCTGCCTCCCAGACACTAATTAATGCTGTGGATGTGGCTGGCTAATTATTTTCAAAATTACCATCATTGTGAGTGGTCCCACTGGAGGCCCATTGCCTCTGTGAAGTCATCCCTGTCTCGAGTGGCACATTCCCTTCCTCCACTGGGAGGCATGATTTCATTCAGAGTCAGTGCACATAGTTAAAAATCTAAAGACTCACAAATCAGTTCAATGTGTTTATCGAAACTCCAAGAGCTCGGTGTCATTTTCATGAACACAGGAAACATGACTTCTAAACCACATGAGCTAACCCAACCTGAGAGTTTTCACGCTTGAAGTCCATAGATTTCCCAAGGGGGTATGAATGGATATAATTTACAAAGACTGAATTTGGATGGTAAAATATTACACATTTGTTTTTACTAAACTTTAACTGAAAATTCATTTATAAGTACAGGCAGTGGCCCACAACGGTGTTGGCTTTATTACTTTATCCCCATAGATGTCCATCTCACATTTCAGTTATTGCAGCTATCTTAAAACCTCACTTGTGCTCATCACTAACTCAAATTGTGAGACTTACTAAACTCACAATAAAATATTTTATGCAATGAATTTATCAGGAGGGGTATGCATTTATTTATTACAAATGTACTTAATGTATTCATAGATCTGTTTTCTTATCATTGGTTTCCTTTGTCATCTTGTCTATTTTATTTTCCTTTGTGATCTTGTTTATTTTGTTTTATATTCATTTATAATTCTGAGAAGGTGGCAGTGATTTTTACCAGACTTCCAAAGTTGTTCATGACAAAAAATAAAAGAATCTTTGAGTCAGTCATATAGAAGTGCTTAGTAAATCTTTGCTCATTGATTTTTTTAAAGTATGTACATAACCATTTTTTCATTCCCACATATATTTGTCTTTCCTCCCAGTAATCAGTGTAAATCCCAGGGGTTAGTTAGCATTCAGCTTTTTCATGAGTTGCCTTTCTTGGTTTTGAACATTTCAGGTTCTTATCTTCTACCACTGTCCCTTCTACAAGCAGTACTCCTTCTTGTGGCCAGGAAAGAAGATTCCAGCACCTTGGGCAAATACCACAAGTGTGAGAAAACTAATCCTCTTCTTGGAGACCACCCTGAGTGAGCGCGCCCCCCAGGGCTCCTTCCATGTCTCCCAGGCAATTCTTACCCCCAGAGTGAACACCATCGCCCGAGGCCTTGTGGGGGGCCTCAAGAACACCCTGGTTCATAGGTAAGAGTTTGCTTCTACCCCATGTGTTAGGTTTTTAAAGAATATTTACCTTGATTCTCTTCTGAATACATCGAAGTAAAACTTTAGAGATTAAAAAAAAAAATTTAAAAACACCAAGTGTTGGAAATAAGATGTGAATTTGAAGGGGATTGCATTAATAGTGCCCAAAAGAACCCTAAACATTTCATTAAAATGTTACATTATTCCACAAATACTCTCTACATTTTGATACTAAGGCAACCCACTTTGCGTCAAAGCCACTTCTGACATCTGGCCTCATCATGTCCCTGCCCCTGCCCTGTTAGCCCAGGTACTCACTCATTTAAGTGGTATGAATCACAAACTACTCTGCTGAGTGCTAGGAATTCAGATGTGGCCCATCAAGAATTTGTTCTTCTCCCTTCCATGGGGACCATGAGTCCTAAGTTCTATGACATAGCTTCAAATACTTCCTCAAGGAAGAATTAAGCCTGACTGTACAATTAAGCAGGAAGCACTCAATCATTTCATAGGAGATGGTGTTCTTTATCCTGGACACCAATGAATACAGTGAATGACAGGTGTTGCAAGAAAAGGATGGTTTAGATGGATGTATTATTTACATATATATATGTAAATAATACATCTGAACAATAGGGTATCCCTCACAATTCCAGCTAATATGTTTGAGTAACAAAAGATATTCACAAGAATCAGTTTGATTCCTGAGTTCCGTATGATGAGTTCAGATTTCAAATAGTGAAATATTCATTCAACACTTGTCCCTATTTGTTTGTTTCTGAGCTTGGAGAGCATGAGTTCAGATAACAGTAAATCAGGAATTTAGAGAGTAAGAAATACCTGCAGTTTTCTTTCTTGGTGAAAGCTCCTGATTTTGTAGACTATGGACAGAACCAGAAACCCCTTTTGGTGTGCCTGTAACTCTTAACTTAGAATTTATGTACTTGGCTTGAACCAAACAATCCAGTGTGATATGTCTTTGGAGGATTCAGAATTATAAATTTTAAAAAATAATATATATTCATGAACTTGCACCATTTTCCTCATATCTTTAGTAAACTTGTAGATTAACATTATTTACTTATTCATACAACAAACTGAGTACCTAAGAGGAAGTAGGTGTGAATGTACAAGATGAATAATAGTGTCTGCCTTGTGGAATTAATTCTCAGTCTCACAGAAAACACTAGTATGAACATTTCTACTTAGAAATGTGAAAAATCACTACAATAAAAATCTGTACAGAAAGCTGTACTAGTAAGAGAGGAAGGACTATTTAAAAATCAGCGTAAGTTAGATCTTTTTACTGTTTCCTGAGTATGAAATGCCTTTTTTGCATGTGACTTCATTTGGTTTTTAAACCCAAGCCAGGCTCCATTCTCTAAAGCACTTCATCATCCCCACTTAAGGTGGAATCCAGTGGTTCTAGGTGACCCACACATCTAGTACTCTGGTCATTGCACTACCACCCTCTCCAGCGTGCCACACTACCATGGATATAGCACATTTTATTGCCCTGTTCTTTCCTGCTCCACAGGCTTTTTGTCTTCTTACTTAAGAAATCTGGTCAGATCTCCTTGTTTACAACTGTTAACCCTCAATTTCACCATGATTTTTATATTTGTTAATTCTTAGCACTTTAATATGCCTGCAAATGAATCCCAAGCTCCTTGTTTGGTGGTAATGATAGTGGCATGTGCCTAAGGCCAAGATCTTTCAGTGTGCCAGAGCTCTTATCCAACTGGTAGTAGGCTGAGGTCCCTGATCTTGGAAAGATACTTTGGCATCTTAATCCCTGTTCATCACAAGAATATCATGGGTGTGATCATGCATTCCTATGTCTGCTCATCAACCAAAGGAGGAAATGCAGGTCTGGTGAGGAATGTGTTCCCAGATGCCAGCACAGCATGTGGTTGTCATCTCCTCTGAATTACTGGGCAAACATCTGTCCCTCCCCTGAGCATCAGCACTCAGAGTGTCTGTCCTAAGATATAAAAGAATAGGGGTGCTTCAGCTGACCCTAAGCACGGGTTATCATCTCAAACCAAGGGGAAGAAGACAAGCTTCATTATTCTACACATGCAGAGGTGGTTTTCTCGGCAGGGAGATAAACCCCACCCATGGGACCCCAGTAAAGCCTTCAGCAAGCTTTGGACATGAGTTCTTATACACCTTGGTTCATCACCCTAGAAGGAATCCACAAAAACTGAATTTTTATGGTACTTTCCACCAGACTCATAGAAATCTAAAATTCAGAATCCTAGCACTCCCCCTGAAATCAGAAAAAAATGAGTTTTGCCTAAGCTTGAAGATAGAGCAAACATGGAACTCAAGAAGGTGACATGGACTGAAATCAGAGGGCCTGAGACTGGAGCCTACATTGGTCCCTGTTGTGGTCTGAATTATGCCCTTAACCCCTAAATTTATATATTGAAGCTGTCACCATGCTCCCTTAGAATGTGACTATATTGGGAGAAGGGCCTTTTATAGAGATAATTAGGACGGGCCCTAATCCAATCTCACTGTTTAAGGAAGAGAAAATGTAGACACCAGGCATGTGTTCAGGCATAGGAAATGTGAGAAGGTGGTCATCTACAAACCAAGCAGAAAGGCCTCAGAAGAGACCAGACCTGCTGGCACCTTGATCTTAGACTTCCAACTTCTGGAATAAAAGAAAATATGCTCTAGTTGTTGAAGCCACCTAGCATAGATTTTATTAGGGAAACCTTAGCAAACTCATGTGCCGTCCCTTGGCAATAGTGTGGCCTTGGACAAGTTCTCTGGGCTGTGGTTTTTCTCACCATTTAAAAGAGATTAATAGAACCCCACAAGATTATTATCCTAACCTGGAAATGCCTACCACAGTACCTGGCATAGAATAGGTATGCCATCCCTGGTTGTAAGAAACCCAGGAAGGCAGTGGGAACCAGCCTTGACCTAGAGTGAGCCCCAAAGCCAAGGGGAAGTTTTTAGCTTACTGTTTTGCACCCTGAGGGGATTGTAGCCTGAGGGGCTGTCAGCAATATCTGTCAGCCTTGTTCATGGGCCTCTCATCCTGGGAAGTGCCAGGAGTTAAGAAAATAAAGTGGCTCCTCTTTCCAGTGGATTCTACGTGTCCTTTTCTCTACACATAATCCCAGTTATTTTATCAGTGCCTTAGGGAAGACTGACCCGCAATGGATGCAGAGCTCTTTTTTTCCTGGAAACCAGATTCACACCCTCCCCACATTTCTCTGCTCAGACTAACAGGGATCCCTCAAGGTTTGGCTGGGGTTGCATCCAGGCCTTCAATTCTGTTCATTCCCAAGACAGCCAGCAGATGGCACTTGCACCTCATACTTTAACAGACGGGGGATTTTGTTTTGTGTTTGTTTTGTTTTGTTTTGTTCTTTTGTTTTGAAAAGAAGTCTGAATGCTTCTTATCATGAGTACTAGCAGGTTTTTCACGTGGGCCACTAGATATTTGTGAACTCTGTATCCAAAATAGGTCAGTATTAACACTCAGATCATAACATTTTGTTGCCTAAAAAAAAAAAAAAAAAAAAAAGATGACTTTTTGAAGGCTTTTTTTTTTAAATTTCCAGCTCCCAAGTATCTCTACCTTATACTCTTTTATTCATGATTCTTTTTCTTTTGCCAGTTGCTTACATGCTACTTAATGTAACCCAGGTACTGCACCAAACACTTTATATATATTATTTTACTTAATCTCTACCCCCAAATCTGTCTGAGAGCATTATTACCACTGCTTTACAAGGAAGAAGCTGAGGGACAGCAAAATTCAACAAGTTAAGGTCATATTGAGATTATTAAGTTCTCAAGAATCCCAGCTAAAACTGAGAGCATTCTTGGGAGGGTAGTCTATTAAGTCATAATCTGGTACAAAATATAAAATGTAAATTGATTTGAGTTGATAGTAGAGTCCACTGATTAAGAGAAGAGATCCAGGACTGATTATAGGCATCATGGTAAGAGGAAAAGCAAGAGGGGAAGGGGAAAAAAAATCTACCAAGGCTGTAATAACATTGTCTTTCTAGAAGACTGAGAAGTTAGATGTATTCCTAAAGGAGGGAGGGTGGCTTTAGATGTATTCTGAAAGAAACAGAAGGAAAAATTGACAACCAAAGAGTGTGACCAAAAGAAGAGAAAGAGATGAGTTAATATAATACTTCACTTATTCTCAATTTTTGACCTAAAGCAAATCTTCCTAAAAAATTTTCGGTCCCTTCACCAAAGGTACGCGCCAGTTTCTATCTCCCTCTAGTCATTTTCAACCCATTGAGGATTTAGTGAGCTGTTTTTATCATGATGAAAAATTACGAGTGCACTTTACAGCTTTCTCCTCTATAGTGCCCATGGTAGTTCACATTTACTACTAATGTAGAAACCATCACACTGAATTTTGTTTTAAATGTCACTAAACTGAGCTCTGGGAAAAAATATAGGAAGCCTTCAGTCTCAAAAATGGCACCAGCAGACTGTTCATGAGGCAACTGATTAGATATCAGTCTATCAGGAAGCCACATGTAGTGACAGGATAACTGTCTATCTGTGTGGAAAAAGTGAACTTTGACTCCTACTTTATGCTATACACAAAAATTAACCTGAGATGGATCTTAGACCTGAACTCATAAAGCTTTTAGAAGAAAACATAGGATATCTTTTTGAATGAGGAGTAAATGAAGATTTCTTAGATCTCAGAAATTATAAAAGAACAAATTGGTAAGTTTGATTCTATCAAAATTAAGGAATTCCACTCATCCAAATGTGTCATTGAGACAAAAGCAAGCTACAGGATGGGAGAAAATAAACAAATATATGAAATAATGTTTATCATCACTAGCAATTAGAGAAATGCAAATAAAAACTACTCTAAGATTTCATCTCACTCCAGTCAGAATGGCAGTTATTATGAAGACAAGCAACATTTTTTATTATCAACATTTGTTATTATGTTGGTGAGGATGTGGGGAAAAAGGTACACTCATACGTTGCTGGTAAGACTGAAAATTGGTGCAGCCAATATGGAAAGCATGGAGATTTCTTGGAAAATTGGGAATGGAATCACCATTTGACCCAGCTATCCCTTTCCTCAATCTATACCCAAAAGGCTTAAAAACAGCATACTACAGAGACACAGTCACATCCTCTCTTCTCCCAGCACTTTCCTCTGAAAACTGGAAACACTTGGAGACTCCTATTTATAGCAGCACAATTCACAATAGCTAAACTGTGGAACCAACCTAGATGCCCTTCAATAGACGAATGGATAAAAAAAAAAGTGGCAATGGAATATTACTCAACAATAAAAGAGAATAAAGTCATGGCATGTGCAGGCAAATGGATGGAGTTAGAGAAGATAATGCTAAGTGAAATTAGCCAATCCCCCCAAAACAAATGCCGAATGTTTTCTTTGATACAAGGAGGCTGATTCATAGTGAGATAGGGAGAGAGAGCATGGGAGGAATAAACAAACTCTAGATAGGGCAGAAGGGTTGGAGGAGAAGGCGGGGGGGCATGGTGTTATAAATGATGGTGGAATGTGATTTACATTATTATCCAAAGTACATATATGAAGACACAGATTGGTGTGAATATACTGTGTATACAACTAGAGATATAAAAAGTGTGCTCTATATGTGTTATAAGAATTATAATGCATTCCGCTGTCATATATAAATTTTTTAAAAAAGCAAAAGAAAAGAATGAAATATAATAAAGATTGGTTGAAAGCATTTTAAGTAAAGATACTTTGTTGATAATAAAAAAAATCTAACAGACTAGAACCTAGGACATATAAGTAATATCAGTAGCTGAACATGTTCAAAAAGTGAAAAATGTTAGTAAAAGAATCGAATAGCTACTTCATGAATGGTCAATAAGCACATGACAAACTGCTCAACACCATTATTCATCAAAAAGATGCAAATTATAACACTGTGAGATGTCACTACATATTCACTAGAATGACTAAAATTAAAAGATAGCACCAAATTTGAGGAAGGATATGAGGCAGCATCCACATGCACAATCTCTTAGAAACAAGTCTTATAGTTTCTCATAATGCTAAATGTAAACCAGCCTTATAATACAGTAATCCCATGCCTTGGTATTTAGCTGAGAGAAATGAAAACAAATGTCCATAAAAAGCCTTGTAGAAGAATTCCCATAACAGTTTTATTCATAACAACTAAAAATTGGAAACAGCTCGTGTATTCATCAATAGAAAAATGGACAAACTGTGTTATGTTCATTCTGTGAAATAGTATGCAGTATTTAAGAAATAAAAAATACAGATCCCTCCATGCATGGTGGCGAATGCCTGTAATCCCAGCAGCTCAGGAGGCTGAGCCAGGAGGATCGTGAGTTCAAAGTTAGCCTCAGCAATAGTGAGGTGCTAAGCAACTTAGAGAGACCCTGTCTCTGAATAAAATACAGAATAGGGCTGGGGAAGTGGATGTGGCTCAGTGGTTGAGTGCCCTGAGTTCAATCCCTGGTGCAAAAACAAACAAACAAACAAAAAAAAAAACCCCACAAAATAAAAAAATACAGATCCATGCAATGCCATGGATGAGTTTGAATACCATTATGCTGAATAAAAGAAGGCTCATACAAAAGAATACACATTGTATGGTCAACATGAAGTTTAGAATAGGTAAATATCATCTATCATGGAAAAAAATCAATACAAGTTGTTGCCTCTGAGGGAATGGAGCAGGAATTGACTGGGAAAGGGCATGTGAGAACTGTATTGGTAATGCTCTATATAGTTATGAGTTTGGGTCATTTATATATGGTTGTCAAAACTCAGTAAGTGCACACTTAAGATGTGCACATTTTATTGAATGTAATCTTTATTTCAAGAAAACTGGAAACACATGGAGACTCCTATTTAATCATATTTTTCCTGAAGCATTTAGGGGATGTGTATAAATGTTTGCATTCAACTATGTGAAAAACAGCTGGATTGATGGAAGGATAGTGTTGGTTGATGAATAGATAAGTGGCAGGCAAGTATAGAAAAATTTTAGTGGTAAATTATGGGTGGTGGATATATTTACTTACTGTAAAATTCTTTCAATGTTGCATATGTTTGAAGTTTTTGTTATAATAAAAAAAATCAAAGAACCCAGCAATAATTAGACTTTTGAGCTTAATGTTTCAAGGTCCTGTTGACATGGGTATCCCTTTGATGCTTGGGACAAATAATCTCCTCTTCTATTAAAGAAACCCTGGAAAATTTAATTTTCTGATGGATTAGAGACAACTTCATCCTTGCTGGAGATATAAGCTTAAATGGACTTAGCCCTGGGGGCTTGTGCTTTATTAACATACTTTTGTTATATTGATGGAAATGTTGTGTTTCCTTTTCTGGAGAAGTCTTTCTAAACTCTCCGGTCTTTCCTCTCTTCTCCTAACACTTTCCTCTGTGTAGGAATCTTCCCGCCATCCTGGATTGGGTGAAAACTCAGAAGCCTGGTGCCATGGGTGTCAACATCATCACGTCTGACTTCGTGGACCTGGTGGACTTTGCCACAACCGTCATTGAGTTGAATGACCTTCTGCAGGAGGACAGAGCTTTGGCTAAATGCTGATTTGTTTATTTAACCTAGGGTTGAAGTTGTTGATCCAGGGTAGAATTCTTTGAAGAATTTCCTGTTGGGGGTGGCCCCTGGGCAGTGGTAGTGAAAAGAGGAGGAGTGCTTCTTTTTTTCTTTTCCTTCCTCACAGGGCCATTGGGATAACAATACAGGGCCTTCAGTTGCATTTTTCCCAAATGAGACTTTTAAAAAGCTTAAGTCTAAGGGAAGAAAGCATGTTTCATGTGCTCAAGGTCAGAATCTCCACAGTGACTTGAGGTAGTGAATGGAATATGGAAATAGGGTCTCCAGTCCATTGGAATATGGAGTATCCCTCAATTGATCCAGTTCTCTATTGGTTTCCAGGGTCTTGTGTTTGAGCCAGTGAGAAGGCTAAGCCAGAAAGGTATTCCTGGTCCAAAGGATGACTCATTATTGCAGGTTTGGACTGCCCTGTGGCTGGCTCTAACTTCAACTTGAGGTTCTGTTCCGGGAGGACAGGAAGCCAAGCATCAGTTCTCTCCAGGGTTGTCCAATGTCTCTACTACTTCCCTGAGGGCATAAGACCTGTTTGTCACCAAGGTGTCTCATCTACATGCTGTTTATGCATACCTTGTGTTGGTAACTGGTCACCTGAATTCTTCAGTTAAACAGTGCATACTGCCCTTGATATCAGAAATGTTTTCTAGTTTTAAAGCATTAATTCCTTTCTAGTATATGGGGGGGGGGCCTTCTTAAAAGGGAAGGAACAACGATGGGAGATCTTTTGGTACAGGGCCCATCAAGAGATAGACATGCATGTTTGCTGCATGCCATCTTTCTTTGATTTTATTCTCTAGTAGTTTTCTAAAATAACTGCCGAGTGAACACCTGCATCATTTTGGCAAAGTCCTCTTTGGATTGGGGTCTTCAAGCCAGACCTTGGAATTGCATTTCATTGTTGTCTGCTTATGACTGAGACCTTCACAGTGGCATACAGTGCCAAGTAGAAGGCACTTTGTCCATGACACCATGGAGGCTGACGCAGGATGCATGGGAGAGTACAATGGCATTAAAGGAGGAAGCTCCAAGTGGGTTTGGAGCCATTCTAAAACTCCTGGAAAACAAGACTACCTCGAGGACCTTTAGGATGACTTGTGTGTCATCAAGTGAGAAATACCCAGTGTTGGGACTTTTCCAGTGCTTGTCTGATTGCTCTACTTTCTGCAGGTTGTTCTGAGCCTACTTATCACTACTGCATGAGGGCTTTGAAACTCAAGAGGGGATTTTTTTTTAACTGATAAGAGGTGCTTATCTATAAAGAGCCCTCTTGTGTTTTGGTTTATTTATTTATTTATTTATTCATTATTTATTTATAGAGTAAGTATCTGCAGTGCTTCTGACCTCAAGAGCACTCACACAGGAGATAACTGACCTTTCCTTGCCCAGAACAGAGGCTGCCGCAGCCTTCCTCCCCTTACCAGGACTGTGCATCTCAGGTCTGTGAGTGAACTTGGATTCTGCGGCAGGTGTCCTGGCTCCCCTAAACCTGCTGAGGACAATGTGGATGTGTGGATGTGATCCAGATCCAAGAACAACTGTCGAACCACACACAGGGACAGAAGATGGAATGGGTCATGAAGAACTCTCAATCCTTGAGTAGACCCTCCAGCAGAAAGCTGGAAAGAAAGAAGCCAGAAATAAAACTGGGCCTCAAGATGCACTCATTTTGATGTCCCTCAGCCCTGTTATATTGATGGGATCCCTAAGGAAGTGTCCGTTTTTGGATTTTTAAAGAGAAAATATAAACCTGGAATCCGGAATGGATGTGGGCATTTATAAAGATTGCTGGACTCTTCTTCCAGCAGTTTCCCATTTCTGTCCTTTGATTTCACAGACAGATTTTTTGCACATTGCCTGTTTTGGGGGATATCTTAGGTGAGCTACCAACAGCACCTACGTCCCCCCATCTACTGGTCTTCCAGCCTTCACTTTCTGTAAAGCAGCTTAAGCCCTGACCTTTTGCATCCTCAGCTCAAGAAGATCACAACAGGAATGCCTATGGGAAAATCTGGTTTAACTTTCCCTGTTCTTGTATTTGAACTCTTTCCTGAAGAGGTTTCTAGGATAGTATTGTCAAATTCTGTAGGGCCTAAGAAGGTGGGTGTCCTCACTTTCTAAATTTTCCCTCAGTTCTGCTGTTGAAGTCTAATGACTGGCTCTGAAATCCCTAGCTTAACCTCTGGGTTTTATTTTTGTTTTTATTGCTCCATTTTGGTTTGGTTTTTAATTCTTGGTCATTTGCTAAGGACCAGATTATTTTTCCTCTCCTAACCCTGTGGTACTTGACAAAGAGATAAGGAGGCAAGAGGAGAATTATTCTGCTCTGTTTTATTTGAGCCTCAGCTTTGTCCAGGTGCTTGGTGCTATGAGGCCAGGTGTTTTGACAGGTATCTGCACAGGAGGTGAGCAACACCCAAAGGCTGCTGACTGTCCAGTAAAATGTTTACTTGATGTTCTTTCTTCATTTTTAAATATATAGTTGCACTTCTCTTGAATTGTGACATTTAAATGCATCTTGGTGTTTGCATGCTAAGAGAAAAATCATGGAGCACGACACAGAAGAACAGAAAAATCCTAAGATTTCATGTACAAAGCCTAGCTCTGCATGAGCCCATGCTGGCTTTTGCTCCTCCATACTGCTCTGGGTTGCCAGCCTTGCTTGAATTTTGCAAATCTGCACTAGAGTTCTGGGAGGAAGGAGGATTTTTTCTTAGTAAATACTCGAATATCTGCCCTCAGAAAAAGGCACACTTTATTGCAAAAAAAAAAAAAAAAGTGTGCATTCTGTTCCTTGATCATGAGGTTACACAGGAGAACTCCGGCGCATGGCACAGAGAGAAAGTAGACTTTAGGTCAATGACTTATTTTGCAACCATAAAAATGGTGATCCATCCCCATCACTTGTTCCAACAAGTTCTGAGTGATCAAAACAAGATCAAACAAAGACTCTCACACTTGCTCAGACTTAACTTCAAGATCAGCTAAACAGCTACTTGATTAAGCCAATGAGGAATTAATCTCACAGAATTTGGGGTCCTGTTTACTCAGAAATATAATTGTTTTTTTCATGAGCTCCACCGACCATTCCAACACCATCACATTTCCATGATTTTGTGGCAAAGGGACCATCACAGATTTCAAATCAGTGAAAATAATGTTTTAAAGGCTTGGACTTTCAGCTTATTAGAGGTACCATGTGGTGTCATGGAAAGAAAAGATATTCTGAAGACTGGAGAGAGAGGTCAAGATAGGATTGATGGAATAAAATGATAAGTTATTGAGGATTAAAGTCTTTTATTAATGGCAGATGAAAGAGGGTCATGCAAGATTTTTTTAATATCTGCTGCATTTGACTCAATAATAACTGTTTAGTCATTTTCCTTAGTGCTGAGTCCAGAGCCCTGAATTTTTGAGGTTAAGCCACAGTTCAAATCCAAGTTTTAAATAAATGCAAAGAAAAGCACAAGATCTGAGTCCAGGTGATGATATATCTTAACTATTTTATAGTTTCTTTTTGCATGACCTCATATTTACATAAAAAATTATGTTTCTGTCCAAGAGGACAATGTTATAGAGCACCTTTCTTAGGAAGAAAAAGGGCTTACACAAAATCAGGATATTGCAGATTGCATTCCTGCCAGAGGGGAAGTTTTGCAGTGTTCTTCATTGCCTGTTAGGTTCTGGGAAACAGAATTGGCTAATGAATGGGACACTGCCATAAGACTCCACTCCCTCAGCTGAGCAAGCAACCCTGTGCAAAATTGTCCCTAGTTCTTTCATCTGTAATAAAGATGCAGTCTGCTACCTAGTGATGAGTGTTTGGAAAACCTTGGTGACTGGTTCCTGAAAATATAAGATCCCTATGTTTGGATTAAATGCCTTATACTCAGGGGATGTACAGTTGTGGTAATTCTTCTTTCTATGCATGTGTATAGAGAATCCAACGTGGGCTCACTTCCTAAAAAAGTGTGGTGTAGATTGACAGAACTTGACTGGGAATGGCACCTTCTGTATTATGTGTAATGAAATATGTAGGGCTCAAAAAACCTTTCAACATGCTTATGGGTTTCTGAGAGGTGGGCTTTCTCCATATATGCTAAATAGTCTTGTTAGGCCAAGAGGAAATTTGGTATGGCACAGAAGAATATGGTTGCCCATTGAAATTCCACTCACTTTCCAGTATATTTTGATCCTCTGTTGCAGGCTGGATCCTGATGTTTGCCACCATAGCTTGTCATTCAAAAATATTGCCCTGGGAAACACAGGAGTGCAGTGATTAAATGATAAGAGGTTTACCTGGAAACTTTACCCTTAATACCAGAAGATTCTGATCAGCTCTTTACTGCCCCCAAGAGACACCTTACCTCCTTAACCTTTGGATTCCCAGCTTCCTGCGAGAAACAGCACAACAACAGCACTGTATTTCTGAACTAGCCCTAGCTTGGAAGTACACATTACAAAATGCTATTGATTTTCTTAAAATAGCACAGTCTTAGATATTATAAAAAATACTCTGAGATAATGCTATCCTGCTTTAGATATAGTGTTTTAGCATCTTCAACAAAACTTGTTCTACTTAGGACTTTTCAAACTCATTTCTAAATCAAATGATTTAGATAAAATATTTCCCTTCCTTTTTCTGGTAGTTCAATTCCACAGTCTGTTGAGGCAATTTCATCAGCAGGCTAGAGGCACTTTTCTGTGTGATACTTTCCTCTCTTCTTCATAGAATACCACTTTGTCCTCTTGTCTTCTGGGCATCCTCCATCACCTGCCAATCACTCTTCATTACAGGATGCTGGCAAAAGCACATACATATATACAGTGATGACCAGCACACTCTATCACAGTGAGGTTTTTCTTCTTAATTGTTTTCAGTACATAATTCTGTCTCCCAGCCCTACCCAATCATTAGAATGATACTTGATTTCAGTCCAGAACTTGGGACCAACACTTTGTTCAAATAGCATAGGCTTGCTCACAAGCTTTAAGCTTAATAAAAAGCACAGCACTTTGAAAAGGCAAATATAGATCTTTGGTAGTTCTGTACATTTGAAATTTTACATTGTTATTAGTTTATAGCACTAATAACACTTCAGTTATGAATCTGTATTACCAACATGATAAATCTTAGAACCTATTCTAGAAATATTACCTTGCTGCTATTATACTTACTAATTTACAACCCAGTATTAGTAAGTGTTAAATACAGATTGTGTATGCATTATTTGTATTGTGTATATGCCAACTATAATACTTAACCTCACTGATCAGCAATTAAAAAATACCGAAATTGTCATAGTGAAAATAAGTCTTGATCAATTCAGATAATTTATGGATCTGATAAATGCTCTAATAGATATTATATTTTCTCCTCTATTACTTGTTTTACACTACAGTGCATGTTTGTTAAGTTAAAAATAATAATAAATTGTACCAATTTTAAGGCTTTAGGATTAAAATTTTGCATATATGCTCCTTGATACTCTGAAATGTGTTTTATGGCTTAATTATCTTATTTGTACACATTCACTTGGCTTTTTTCCCCTCTAGGAAATAATTGTTCAAATATATCTCTTCTTGTTACCTTGATTAAACTGTGTAATTCAACCTAGAACATTGTAAAGCCAAAATACCTCATTTTAACTGTGAAAAAAAATGTCAAGGGATATGATGACATGATGTGTTTCCTTGTACTTGATTTGAATGACATAAATAGGCTTATAACTAATAATAAATATTAAACATCAAAACTTTGACAGGCATGTTTCCTTTGTTTTAATGAACATTATATTATTGGATTCACTCCAAATTTTGTTTACAGACTCAGTGTCAGTAAAATAGCTCATTATGCAAATATTAGATGAACATCCTTTCAGCTCTGCCTAGAACATGTTGGGATTAGCTAAATATGCCCACAGTTCCCAAGATGAACAGTGTGTGAAACATGTACATAACCACATCATCCATGCTTTATTCAAGCTTTATCCTTAGAGCACTTCAGTTACTTGTACTAGTTTTAGACCAGTTCTTATTGACATCCATATTCTCATGCTGCTGCCTTCTCTGATGCACATTAAACTGAGTGATTCCTGGATGCCCAGAAGTAGAGCAATTCAAGAGATGATTTGTGCACACAATGAGTAAATAAAAGTGGACCTTCAATTTATGTTGCAATGTCCCACATTTTTCTCATTCCTAATTATTTTTTACAGAATATCTAAATGCACTTTCAGTGATTTTTTTATTTTGCCTTATCTGTTACAAAATAATGGATTATTGTGAATGTTCTTTCTATGAATTTAACAGAGATTCAATTAATTCTAAGTAATCATTTATTTGATATGGTTGAATGTTGGAACAGGTGATTAGGAGTAATGATACATGTGTTTAAGTTCATAGCAATTTAGAACATAGTCACAGTCAGAATTTTCTGCCTGTATTTATTGTTTAGTAACTCTAATGTCCTCTGGTTGGTTTTAATAAGTACCACGTTCAGTGATTCCAATTTAGTTTTTAGTAGTAAGTCACTAAAATAGTATATATTTTAGTGACTTACTATTAAAAACTGGTTGGGTCCAAACATAAGCAGAGTAGGTATAACCTGTGTGATTTAATTGCAGAGATATTGCTGTCCTGCCTCAATTTCTCAACATACACCGTGGTTAATATATTGCTGCTAAGATAATGGAGCTCTTGCATTATGTAGGAAGTCTTCAATATCTAATCACAGATTGATTTATCAGATTACTACAAAGTTATAAACATGCACAGACCCAGATTTCTATTCCAACTGCATCATATTCTGGCCATGTGACCTTAAAGCAAATTATCTCTGTATCTCTATGTGTATAGAACATAGGGTTATTAAATTTCTGCTATGAAGGTGTTAATCCAAATAAGAGAGCTACAAAACTAAATAAGGAAATGTGTGGAAAACATTTTAGCACAAATCATGGTACATAGTAAATTCTCAAGAGTAGATATTAGTATTAAGGGAAGGAATTTTATACTTTCCTTCTCCAAATAGTACTAAACAAAATCTTTTTAACATGATTGGCTGCTAACCTTTGTGTTCATTGAATGATTTAGCAGGAAATAATCAATGAGAGATAAAGTAGCTAGATTTGGATGGTGGAAGAGAAATGTATTGAAAATTCTTTGTGTGGCATATTTACAGGGGCTGTGTAGCAGAAGGTCAAAGCAACTAGCAGATGCTGGATGCTTAGACTGGGTCATATTCTCTCTCTCTCTCTCTCTCTCCCCTCTCTCTCTCTCTCTATCTATCTATCTATCTCTATCTCTCAATAGGTGAGAAAGGGTGGTAGTCAGGGGCAAAGAGCTGGACCTTATATAAGGAAGTCTCTGGAGACAATGTCTTATGATGTACCTATTGGGGGTTACCACTTCTGGAAGCTTTCTAATCTGAAATGCTCATAATAGGTAAGTCTAGACCCAATTCCTAGAGTTCTAATTTCTTAGGATACTATCTCAGGAGGAGTCAATGAAAAAATATACTTTGGTTTTCAGTTAGGCAGGACATTTCTGGACTAAATATGCATTGCTCAGAAAGTGGAATTCATGCCACTGGTGATGTTTATGATATTTATGAGGTGGAAATGGCCACATCTTTAACATTAGGCATCAAGACCACTAATCATTTAATCAATCCTGATTAGTTAGGAAGGAAGTCTTAATTTAGTGATGAAACTTGTCTATCCTATTTATCATTCCACAGAGAAAGGTAATAATATCTAACATTTAGTATTATTTGTTTATATTGTATTTATTTTGTGGTTATCTTCTCTTTGTAGCAAGTGGTCCTGGGTTTTCAGTAGTGATATAAAATTCCCTTTCAAAATGAATTTAAGATTTTTAATGAGTGCACTATGAAGAAGCTATAGGAATGGCCTAAATTTGTGATTCTTCTCATTTTGCGAGGAAGGGTATCCTTGGTTCAGCCACACATTTTTGCCTACAACTGGGTTTGGTTGTTGTCTTTCTAAACATCTGTACTCACTAAATATATAAATAGGTACTACTTGAGATAGAAAGTCATCTCTCTCTTTCATAAGGGAACTTTCTTCATGTTTTTGGCAGAAGTCTATGCTCAGATAATCTCCATGTCCTATGGAGGAATTTAAACTAGAGAAATCAAGTTCTTGGAGACTATCCACAGACGGCTGTTCTGGGTAAACATGGAATACCAGAGAGCAAACTCCAGTTCTTCAGCTTAGAAAGTGATTCCTTTTCTGTGAATCCCTGATGTTAGGATGCCTGAATGTCCTAGATTTTGTTGTGGTTTTTTTTTTTTTTCCTCCAAAGGAATTCTTCCTGATCAGCAGTATGTTTTTGTTTACCCCTCTGCAAATCTGCTCACTATGACCAAAGGAGTGTTATTATTTTTAAGACATGAAGCCTTTCATTTTCAGAGAGAGTGGGAGGTTGCAAGGGAGGGACAGTGGACAAAGCTCATGTGCCTCAAACCTCACCCAGGAAGGCTTGGACAAGTGTCAAAAAATAAAAGCACAAGTCAGACCAGGGTGTTTTCACAGCTGGGCAGTGTTTGGGGATAGCATGGGGTGGTTGGGAGTGTTAGCCTCTGTCCAGTAGCATCATGTGATTGAGAGAAGTCTTAGGCAGTCAGATGGCTTTAATCTAAGGGACCAAGCATCTAAAGAACAGGATTTATCCTGCAGAGAAAGGTCCTAAGAAGCAAAGCTCTTAGTGTAGAAGGAGGCCACTGAAAGCTGTTCTTTGTTTAACCTAAGAACTTAGCTGCTTTTTGGCCTAAAGACGTTCCTGCCCTGATTCTTACTGGAAGTTCACTCAATCCAGGCCCAGTGGGTCTCATTTTTAGGACCTCCATGAAGTGTAAGAAGAAAGTGTTAGACTGATTTTTGAAAAGCTTCCACTAAGCAACAACCTTGTGAGTGTAGAATGCACAGGGTAGTGCTTCAGGTCAGCTAGCATGCCTTGAAATGACGCAGAAAATCTTATATAGTGTTCACACAAAAAATGTGTGTATAGCTTTCTATAGCTTTCATTGAATTTCTTAGAGAAATTTGTGATCCTAAATTGTTTTAAACCACTCTCTTTCATGTGTCTAAGAATTATCATTTAAGCAAGAAACAATGGTTGATTTAAGGTATGCTGGATAGACTTGGTCCTTTCGACTTAAAAAAAATTAAGACATATGGATTTGTTCACTATAGGTGCTCTCTTTTAAAAGGTAAGGCCAGGCAAGACAAGATAAGAAGAAAAGACTAAGCCAAATCCAAACACTCCCAAGGAATAGTTACATGGAATCTTATAAGAGAGTGTGTTCAAAGAGCAAGGGAAGAAAGAATGGCTCCAAGAATGACATCAAAAGCAGATCTGAGCACCAAATTTTGAAGTGAAATGGAGCTTTCCCAGAGGAGGGCAACTGAGGGAGGGAAGGGCCCAGAGGTCATGTTACATGAGAAATGGGGGGGTGTTGGAACAGGAAAATGTGGGAGAAAAGTGACAAGAATATCTTCAAATATATTCAAATTGTTACATGACTACGATTTTAAAGTTTTGTGACTTTAGATGTAGAAAGGATCAAAGAACATTTGTGCTAAGCACTACCATTACAAGAGAAAAATCTGAAAGCCCATAAAGAACTGACTGGCTAAGTGTCGCGATGGGCAAAAGGTGCCACTTACGTAGTTGAGGGGGGAGAAATAAAAATGTCCACGCGCTTCTGCCCTTTTCAATGCTTTATTCACTCAGATCACTCAATACAATTTCACTCTATAGGTTCTTAATCAAGAAAATGACAATCTTTAATGCTAGGCACTGCAGTAGACATAATCAATTCACAGCAAACAATTGTAAACACTGTAAACACACTTAATCACGACAGGTTCATCACAGACATTTCCTCTGCATGATAAGCTCAAAGGTCAGATCAAAATTCTCAAGCCTTAGGCTCTAAATCTAGCAGATGCACACTCACTCAGACCATGGGGATCATGTCAGGAACCAAGGCAGGCTTCTCCTGGGGTGGAGCTGACAGCTGACTGAAGACAGGGTCATAGGGAGAAGTCCTTTTCTCACCAGAGTCAAGAGGCTGCTGTAGAGTTTGAGAGCCCTGAGAACAACACAGAGGATTGGGCAGATGAGAAGAGTTGGGATGTTATTCTGGATCCTCATCAGGCTCTCAGGCTTGTGTGCATCAGTGTTGGTTGGCTGAATATCTGTTCATTTACTCCAACATTTATACTAAATTTGGGAGCTTCTGACCACCCTTGCAATCACTATCAGCTGCCACTGGATTTCTCAGTGATGCCATTTGCTCCAGGGTTAAAACATCTGGTCTGATGGTCCCTAACCTGATTTCCTTGCCTTTCCCCCTTATTGGGCAAGGACAACATGACAGAGACTTTACTGTGAGCTCGTCAGGATGGGGAGAAGTGACTTGTTTGTGCCTGAGGGCCATACTAGAGGGCTCTGTAGGTGTGCCTGGTGAGACTTCAGGTTTCAAACTAGAGTTTTAAAATGGAGTTGCTTAGGCTAAGGCATAAGGCCATCCTACACTAAGGCAGAGCTGAGACTAGAATCTAAAATCTAGACTCTGAGTTCCTTTTCAGTGTCATTCCCCACAATTTCCAACTGCCTCCCTACGTGCATTATGTGCCGTGAAGAAGTAGGGCAACAAGTTGCCATTTCAGTAATGTGGAGCTTGGCTTTATGTGGAATGAATGCTAAGTGAGATAGTGTGTTCACCACCATG